CTTATTTTGCAAGCAACAAATTCGGAAGTTGTATATTTCGAGAGCAACAAATTCAGACAATACGTTAGTATCAAATTTAAGCGAGCAACAAATTTTTTTCTGATTGTTTACTCTTGTAAGTTTGCACGCTGTGCGGCTTTCCGGCATTATTTATACTTATTTTGCAAGCAACAAATTCGGAAGTTGTATATTTCGAGAGCAACAAATTCAGACAATACGTTAGTATCAAATTTAAGCGAGCAACAAATTTTTTTCTGATTGTTTACTCTTGTAAGTTTGCACGCTGTGCGGCTTTTCGGCATTATTTATACTTATTTTGCAAGCAACAAATTCGGAAGTTGTATATTTCGAGAGCAACAAATTCAGACAATACGTTAGTATCAAATTTAAGCGAGCAACAAATTTTTTTCTGATTGTTTACTCTTGTAAGTTTGCACGCTGTGCGGCTTTTCGGCATTATTTATACTTATTTTGCAAGCAACAAATTCGGAAGTTGTATATTTCGAGAGCAACAAATTCAGACAATACGTTAGTATCAAATTTAAGCGAGCAACAAATTTTTTTCTGATTGTTTACTCTTGTAAGTTTGCACGCTGTGCGGCTTTTCGGCATTATTTATACTTATTTTGCAAGCAACAAATTCGGAAGTTGTATATTTCGAGAGCAACAAATTCAGACAATACGTTAGTATCAAATTTAAGCGAGCAACAAATTTTTTTCTGGTGGTTTACTCTTGTAAGTTTGCACGCTATGTGGCTTTCTGGCATTATTTATACTTATTTTGCAAGCAACAAATTCGGAACTTGCATATTTCGAGAGCAACAAATTCAGACAATACGTCAGTATCAAATTTAAGCTAGCAACAAATTTTTTTCTGGTGGTTTACTCTTGTAAGTTTGCACGCTGTGCGGCTTTCCGGCATTATTTATACTTATTTTGCAAGCAACAAATTCGGAACTTGCATATTTCGAGAGCAACAAATTAGCAACAAATTCTTATATTATTGTTATGTACAATTTTGTTGCTATATATATATTGTTCCGCTAACTTAATCTTCCTTTAGCGGAACATCATTTTTTTTAAAAACTTACAGAGCAACAAATTTTTTTCTTTGGCAACTTTTTAGCAACAAATGAGCAACAAATAAAAATATTAATTAGAATTGATTCTGCTCATTCTGTTCCGCTAACTTATAAGACGTCGGTTCGGAAGCGTATAAGACACTGCGGTAGCGAAAGCCGTTCGACCGTTCGTCGTCGGCTGGCATTGCAATATCGATCGCTATACGGCGCGGCGGCGATTTTATCGCTCCACAGTGCTTTTGTGAATTTACGCGTTTCACGTACAAGTAATGTTACGGTCGAAGTAACGTATGGAATTGCTCGATGTATTTATGAAACACCATTCAGCTTTTTCTAAAAACACTGAAATTACGGAATGTAGAATGCGAAGAACGCTTGCCTTCTCCGCATTCGAATTGAATTGAATTGAGATCGAAAATCAGTGGAATAATTGAATCGTACACTGAAAAAAAAGAAGAATTGTTAACTTGACTAAAACCGTTCAACTAATTACCATTTTTTTAATTGAAATATTTATATATTTAAGTCAAATATACGTCATGTTAGATTTAATATGTCTTATTTGACTTAAATATATAAATATTTCAATTAAAAAAATGATAATTAGTTGAATGGATTTAGTCAAATTAACAATTTTTTTTTTCAGTGTATGCATCTCGAAACATTCCTTAAATTTATATATTTCTATATTTCCTTTATATTCTTTTAAATTCTCTCTCTTTCTCGCTCTAGTTCTTAAATTTATTATATTAATTTTTTATTGAACTCTGAAAACGCACATAAGCTGAGAATATAACATGTAGAGTATAGTAATTAATGCAGCTAAACTGCACAAAGAGAAAGAGAGAGAGAGAGCAATCTATGTAAAAAAAAAATTTATATATATACATATACGATATTTATTTCATTGCCTTTATTAATTTATATTATTAAGATATTAAAATTTAATGGTATAAAAAAATGTAATGGATTAAAACTTTTGTTTGAAACATTTTTTTTCGATAAAGCTTACTTTCCGAGATATTTTACAGTTTTAAGTTAAAAAACTCACCCTGTATATACATTTTTAAAATTACATTTTAAAAGAGTTTATATGTTGCCAGAGTGATTTGCGTGTTTAGATTTAAATATTCCAAATCCAACCTCGAGCAGTCTAAGGTCGATAAAAATAATTAACGTGTACCACGTTTTTCTTTCTGCGCAGATTCAGACGAAGCGCGAGCTATTCTTCAAGGGCGACGGCGCGGGAATAATCTCGTCGCCGTCGGTGCCGTCGGTGCCGCCGCCGCAGCCGCCGACGCAGACCCCCGGCTCTCAAATGAACAACACGTCGTCGTCATCGGCGACGAACACCACGACGGTTGGAGGTTTAACGTCGCCGAACACGGCGCCGGTGTACTCGAGCGGCATCGTCGCGGCGAAACCGCGACTACCGTCCGCGGTCTCGACGGCGATCCCGAACGACCCCTCGGAGGACAGCAACAGGCGCGAATGCGCCCGGACCGTTATATCCAGCGCCAAGGAGGACAGCAACAAGGAGGCCGGTCTGCACCATGCGCGACCCACGCCGTCCACCAAGCCCAAGGAACTCGACGGCTACGTCGGCTTCGCGAATCTCCCCAACCAGGTGTATAGGAAAGCCGTAAAGAAGGGCTTCGAATTTACTCTCATGGTCGTAGGTTGGTAACGCGATTTATAATGAGAATTATGTAAATGGAAATTTTCGTACAAGACGCTATTCTCTCTTTTTCTCTTTGTACATTAGAATAAAAGAAGAAGGGATCTTAATAAGGGATGTAGGATACGTTGAACTATTGATTATTTTATATCGAAATCACATTTTTGCGTTGTGTAGTTAAATTATTTTGATACGAATTATCTAAATAAGGATGCAATTTATATTAATATAAATGTTTAAGGAGTGGGGAACGTTCGCGAAATAATGATAAGGTGTAATTAGCTCTGTGCGCTCTCGGATGCTGTATTATTGATGTCGAAAAATGCGATCCTCGGACGCTGAAACGTTCATTATTCGCGGCAGCGGAAGAACAACGGACGTCTGTCTCGTTTGAGAATCGCTCAGCCCACGCAAAAGGACAAAGGGATCTGTTTCTTCGGCGGCAATGGCAATGGTATTCCCATTTCGTCCGGAGTATCATCTCGCGATGCAATCTCCCATCTGCCGAGCACGTGCTCTGCAAGTTCTCTCTCGTTCTCGGTTCTCCCTCGTTTGCCGGATCAAGGCTGTCGTCGAAGTTCAGCGGTTCTCACACTGGAATGCATCCCTGGAGTTCGTTTTCTCGGAGTATACTAAGTCTTCCATTGCTCGGCGGATCTTCCTACGTCACGTTATTTATGCAAATGAATAGTACCGTGACTCAAAAAAAGAGGGGAAAGGATAATTTGCGGCAATAACACGTCGGCGACTCTGCCAATTGAAAAGAGCCATAAATCGTTAATTGCAGCCTGCGTTTCTGCTGCTCTTAGATTTATCACCTTGCAAATTTCCTTAAGGGAGCGAACGGTATAATTGAAGACTCTTTAACTTGTCCAATTATATTTCTCGTGATAGATGAATAAAGGGATTTTTATATACATATAATGATACGACACATCGGAACAATTAATATATATGTAACGATGATGCGAAAGATTTTAAGATTCGGTCGGTGTTCGAGGAGGAGAGGCGTTAATAAAAGTGCTGACTAAAATTGTCGACGTGCAGCGGACTATCGTCTCGAGCGCGCACGCACACGCGGGTGTAAAAGAGTGTCATTGGGTCTGGGGAAATTTGAGAGCGCGGTCGTTGCGTACGCAGGAAGAGGGAAGGGGTGAACTATTATTAGACCACGTATAAACGGAGCCGTTTCTCCGTAAATAGAGCAATTCAAGTTCTTACCCTTGGTTTAAAGGCGTAGGCGCGGCACTCTTCGCCTGGTTCAAGGTTTATGCGTTAAGAGGTCACCGGTACTCTATCAACATTTCATCTCGTTTCGGTCACCGTCTCCGAATTTATTTGATTGCCAACAGAAATGTCGGACAGAAATGTCTGATCGTAAATACTCCGACTGAGATTAATGATCGCTGTCTCGATGGTGGAATATTAATAGCCGCGAAGTTAATTCGCCTTGAAGAGATTATGGTATTTCGGTGAATCAAATTTCGCCCAAAAATAGATATTTGCGAAACAATGCTTCAATTGTACAATCGCACATGAAAAATTGTTTTTGAATTGAAATATTTTTACTATTAAAATGTTCTTACAATCAAGATATTTTTTTGTTAATATTTCCGTAATTAAAACTACATTTCTGTAATTGTTTGATGGAATCTCTTTCTGATTGAGATATCTTTTTCAATTGTTGTAGAATATATCAGACGCTATAACTGTACAATTTGTATCGAACAAGATGATTTTTTATTTAATTTTCTTTTTTTAATTTTACTAATCAATTTTTATAGCATAAAGAAAACTGCGAATGTTTTGAGAAATATTTGAGCATTAATTTCAGTGACAACAATAGAATCGATAAACGTTCCAGTTAAATCGCAAATAACAGTGATAATAAATAAATAAGATAATCCATTGCACCTCAAATTCAATTTTCCTAAATTTTGTTTGTCTGTCGAAGAATATATATTTATTTCTATTAGATAGATATTTATCTATTTATAGAAAATAAACAGTTAGATTTTATTGATCTATATATAGAATGGAGTCGCTGAAATGTTTTTTAAATCTTTATAGGGGAATCAGGACTCGGCAAATCGACTTTGATCAACTCCATGTTCCTGGCAGACATATATAGCGCCGAGTACCCCGGACCTAGTCTCAGGATAAAGAAGACGGTCGCCGTGGAAACCAGCAAAGTGCTATTGAAAGAGAACGGAGTCAATCTTACTCTCACGGTTGTCGATACCCCCGGTTTCGGTGACGCTGTCGACAACAGTAATTGGTACCTATATAATAGATTCACCGACAAATTAAAGTTAAACTTGTTCAAACTTTCGCACGATTCTAGCTCGATTACTCTACAATATCTTTTGTCTTTGTTCCAGTTGGGTGCCAGTAATCGACTACATCGAATCGAAGTACGAGGAATTTCTCAACGCGGAATCCCGCGTAACAAGACGACAGATCCCGGATAGTCGGGTACACTGCTGCCTCTACTTTGTCGCACCCTCCGGCCACGGATTGAAGCCACTCGACGTGGAGTTTATGCAGCGTCTCCACGACAAAGTCAACATTATACCGGTTATCGCCAAAGCGGATACTATGACGCCGGATGAGTGCGCGCACTTCAAAAAACAGGTACGAAAGACAAATTTGAATTTCCAAAAGGAGAAAACAAAATACTCATCACTTTCCTGGAATAAGGGACTAAAAGCGAGAATCAAACATCGCTTAAAAAGTTATTTTGAATCCTTAAAAGATTTTTTCAAATCTATAAAAAATTATAATAAAGTATATTTGAATAGTTAAGAAATTGCCTCCTTAGCATATATATTTGCTCTTCTTAATTATTTAATTTAATTATTATCTTTACTCATTTTTTTAGATTTTGAATGAGATTGCGCAACACAAGATAAAAATCTACGAGTTTCCGGAGGTCGAGGAGGAGGAGGACAACAAATTTCACAAGTTATTAAGGGACAGAGTGCCGTTCGCTGTCGTGGGAGCAAATGCCGTCGTCGAACATGATGGCAAGAAAGTGCGGGGCAGAAAATATCCGTGGGGAGTTGCGGAAGGTATGTACGAGTTTGTGAGATAAATTCCATCGACCGATTTTCGAGTTGGAACGATCGAGTAAATTTGTTTGTTGATAAATTAACATTTAGATGATAACTGTATAATTAATCAAGTCTAATTCTTACATTTCGAAATATGCGATTCAAATTTTTTTTTAGCAATGTTTTATTTTACTTGTTTAAATGTCTGCTTATATATATGTTTGTATATATTTGCTACATTTATGCTGTTCATATCATTGTAAAGTAAGTAGCATCGGAACATTAGATAAATAAGAATCTAGAGGAGCATCGCTTATTCCATATCTGTTTACAATCGGCATATTTTTTTCTATACATAGTCGAGAATCTGGAACACTGCGACTTCATAGCGCTCCGAAACATGGTGGTAAGGACGCACGTGCAGGATCTGAAAGATGTGACGAACAACGTGCACTATGAGAACTTTCGGTGTCGTACCTTGGCCGGTCTAGGTGTGGACGGCAAGCCGACAAAGGCCTCCAATAAGTAAGTAAATTCGTGCCACGAGATTCGTGATTTTTTTTTGTGATTTCTCGTATGTGAAAGAGGCATAACTAGAGCAGAATTTTGTCGAGGAGTAGATGTACTTTTATTCTGCCGAAATAGACAAACCGGGCGTTACGGTCTCTTTCTTAACGAATCGATTGGCAAGATTTAAATACAATAAGATAGGTTGATATAGAAATGAAATAAATATGAAAGAAATCCGCAAAGTCAATTTAATTCGTCTTAAGTCAGTTTGCGGCAATCGCCAAAATTGAATGACAAAAAATGCTGATTCAAAAACATACGTATTCTAATATGACAGTTATTTAGCCCCATACTGTATATAATGCGGTCCAATTTATTAATTCACCTGCCCCCCATTGGTGCAATATTAATATTATTGCCGGATGCGATAAATATGACGGAACGACTGTGCTTATCTTTTTTAGTTAGGCACTAACTACGCCATTACGACGCTCGCTTTTTCTATTCGAGCAAGGATGTTTGTTTCGTTGAGTTTGATTTGAGCACGCAGTGTGTCTCGGCGAGCACTCGACTGTGTTATGATGAGATGATAGTTTATTTCGAGCTTCAGTATCACACCAATAACGACGCTTGCGAGTCGATTGCGTGTACTGTCCGAATCACATGCTTGTATCACACGGTGTGTGTTTCTGTTTCTTCCGTGTTACTTTCATTCTGAAGAATTCAGAGAAAGGTTGTGCATGCAAACTATCGAAGTGACCCCAAAGTGGACCACTCTCGCGTTCGAACTATCTTTTGCCATATCTCGATCGCGAGCGAGATCTGTATCCGTAGTAGATTAGACATGAGAACGCTGCCGAGGGAAGGTGGGGAAGAGGGGGAGGGAAAGACGCGGCAACCAACCCCTCGACAGCGTGTCGCCCGTGCGAATTTTAATGGTGAATTTCTTATTGGTCAGTTTGTGCCCTCCAGGAGTGATGAACAGTTTCATGATGGTGTGGTAAGTCCTTTAATAAGGCTCAAACGGATATATTATAGTTTTGTGTGCACAAGCCTTGTCGAGTTTCGAGATATTCTCGAAATCTCTGCGATCTAAGAGGACTCACTGATTATATTATGAGAGATCGTGAAAGTTGTTAGAGAAAACTTTCGAACAAGACATCGTGTATCTTAAATCCATCATCGGTCGTGGATTTTGATAGATTTTTTAAAAGAAGATATACGATTGAAATAAGATATTTGAAAGAAGTTTGAATTTTAAGATATATTGCATTAGATTACATTAATTTAATTATTCTTTAATTCTTATTTCTTAAAGATAATTATATCGAAAGAAAGATTTACTTTTTTTCTCAATTACAGAATGCTGTGTTTGCATTTTGTAATTAAAATTAAATTGCATGCTCTTATTTAATTTATATATTATGATAATAAGCGTCAAAAGCGCTTCAGCGGACACGTACAGTGAGCCCTCTGAAAAAATAACCAATGCAAATTATTGTACGCTCTTTAGAGAGAAAACAACTGATAAATTAGATTTTCCATATTGAATGTGTAACACCATTTAGGTTTGCTTGCCGTCTTTATATTTATTTTTACTTTTGCATTAATATATCTAGCAACAATGTAACAATAGTTCCCTCAGAAAAGAATCGTAGTATATAGTTACGATTTTTATAATATCTGTTATGGCTTTATAGATTTCACTTGAATCTTTTACATAAGAGCTCTGATTTGTGTTGCGTATAAATAAGAAAATAAAAGGAATAAAATGCGAAAAATATCAGTGTAGCGGAGAGATTGAAAACGCATTAAAAATTTAAACAAATATTCTCATATTATTTATATTCTTGTATTATTTACGCTATAAACGTAACTAAAGCATTGCAAATAATATTCTCACTACATCAACAATACGAATGTACGTGACATGTATGTTGCACAAAGTTGGCAATTTGCAAAGTTGGAACGTAATCGTTTCTCGTGAATTTAGAGCAATATTCTAATCGCCATAATAATAATTCGATCTAACGATGGAAACTAATTATCGAGTTGTAATTTGCGTAATATCGATTCGATGCAAATCCGGGCTCCAGAGCATTTATCTTTTAACTGATTGTGATCTCGCAGGAACTCATCGGCGATGAATTATCTATTTTATTTTATTATTATCAGGAAAAATTTCTCTGCTATTTTTTAAATTCATTTCTCGCGATACCAAACAAAATAAAAGATGTGTATATTCTTTTGCGGAATATTCGTCGACTTTTCCGCGATGATATATCAGTTAAGAATTAATGTGGTTTGTACTGTTACCTCTTTGTAGCACACTCTGTATAGTAATTATTCGTAGCAATCCGGAAATGTCAGCTCAGTATCATGTTAATGTATTTCATAATTATCTTCAGACTATTGATTTTATCTATGCTATCTCAATACTGACAGACGTAATAATTGAAGTAGCTAAGTTAGATATTAGGTACGTTCAACTGAAACATAAACTGAGGCTTTTATAGAATAACAACCCTAATCCATGTTTCAATTGAACATACCATACAATTATTATCTTTTTTGAATAACCTCTCGGAATTTAAAAGCTAATCAAATCTTAGAATTCCTGTTGCGAAGAGGTAATGAGATTTTATAAATGTGTAGTAGAATGCTAATTAACGATTAGATAAGTTTCGAAGATGCCTAAATGTTACACGCGTCATCCCGTATTTGTATTCACGATGATACGATAGTCTTCTATTGATTCGATAACGTGTATATTATAATTTGGATTTGCTCGAATTTTTATAGGAATCCGTTGGCGCAGCTGGAAGAGGAGAAGCGTGAACACGATAACAAGATGAAGAAGATGGAAACTGAGATGGAGCAAGTCTTTGAGATGAAAGTGCGCGAGAAAAGGCAGAAGCTAAAGGATTCCGAAGCGGATGTAAGTGTCAAATCGTTATGACGTTATGTCATTTCGTAATCGTAAGCCGAAGATTTTTCGAAACTCACACTATTTTGCTAAGTATATATTATTTCGTCGAATATTTTATCGAAAAGAAAAAAAAAAAGGATTTAGGATAGATTAGTTAGTTCGTGCACTGCAATTTCTCACTCATTATTGTATAGTTCAAGTCCGTTCTCGTTCTCACGTGGAATTATTTCGATCGGGATCAATTTTTTTATAATTTTTGTCTCATAGTATTTTTATGCATATTCGAACGTAAAGAGTAATGTATCGATATTAACGCCGAGATACATATGGAAAATCTGCAAACAGTTACAGAGAAGGCACGAGCAAATGAGACGTTCGTTGGAACAGCAAGTGCGAGAACTGGAGGAGAAGAGACGGGCGTTTGAGGCGGAGAAGACCGCCTGGGAGCAGCAGACCGGTCACAGTATTGAAGAACTGCGTAGACGCAGTTTAGAAGCGAATTCGAAAGAGTAAGTAGTCTTTGTCGACGAATGAGAAAAAGAAAAAAACCGAGAGATATTGCGTTTGATCGTTGTGTTTACATTGTTGCACTCTCACACGTTTATTTCTCCGTTGTGTCTCAAAGAGGATATATCTTGTTGTTTTTCGCACGAAATATTTTTTTATTTTTTTTAGATATAAATATTTTTATTCAGCTTTATATCTTTCTTCCTTATTTCTAGCGAGAGCTAAATTCTAACATGAACGAATATTAACGAAATAGTTGTATATCGCTTTTGAACCTTAGCGCTGGTGATTTAATATGGTTTTTGGAGTTGTTTGTATATTCGACGCGAAAAGCTCTCGACGCAATTAGAATCAGCTTGATAGCTTCCTTATACATTGCATTCCGCCACTATCGTATCTTCTTCCGGCTGTATGGGAGCATTCATCGAAACAGATTCTACTGCGCAACATTTTTATATCATGAAAACATGATCTCTCAAGACTCTAATATCGATAATTATATAAAAGTGGATGAATTGAGAATATGAGACGTAAGAGGGATGATACCTCGCTTTATGTCTTTAAGTGCGTTTGAAGTGACTTTAATTTCCTTGAGAACTTGTTAAAGTAAACTTTTTAGTAAAGTTTAATACTTAAACTTTACTAAAAAGTTGAGGTGAAGTTTAACTATTAAAGTAAAAATTTTAAAGTTCTTACATATATAGAAAAGATTCATATAGCAGTGAAAGAAGAATACGATAGTAAGTGTGCACTGTACATACGCGGGCCTCGCTCTCGCTGTAGCGTTCCTTAGTCGCTAATTCGTGTTTGGATATTTTAATGTTTGCAATTTTTAAAAATTGTCGTTCGCATCGCAATAATATTTTTTATTCACGCTTTTATATCTACGATCCTTCACATCACGATCACTTCACGAAGCTTGCACCAATAACAGAATAATCGTTTACCGGCTCGATTTTTATAAGATTATTATCGCAATCATATTTTCGTGTTTCATAATTTGTATCTACGCGATAATATACTGTCCGCACATGTACATATCGTAACTTTCATACGTATAGTCATCTTGCATTTAACGCTGAATCAGTTGGCTGTCTAATTTCAATTCGCAGAGAAAACAATTATAAAAATGTGCAATATATTAAATTTAGTATTATATAGCATCCCTCTATTTATTAACTTTAAAATCTTTCAAATACACAAACGTATTATAATAAGGGACGCCTTTTAGATCCTTCGTGTTGTTTGAATTGAGATTTGACACAGACACATTTAGCGTTAAGCGCAACATGACGACACACCGCCGACGTTGCGTTGCACTGCTTCTCGCGGAAGATCAAAGAGAAAAAGCTAGAGAGATGGAAAGCTCATTGTGCAAGGAACGTCGGCGGTTTTCCAGGATTAATGTACGCTTATTGATCCAAGCGCGCGCGTATACTCAGATCGCGTGCGTGATATTTTTACATTCGAGTTTACGTCCAGATTTCCAAAGAAAAGAAAAAGAATAAGAGAAAGAAACCCGGTTTGTTTGTCTCTCTTGTGTGTATACCATATCGGGGTGTCCTGATCTAGGACGGGATCGATGTCCTCCGAGGGATCTGGCGGCGGCGGGGGTACGTTGAGGGGTTCCCGAGGGATAAGCAGCCTCCTTCGTCGTCACACGAGTTTCAAATCACCTCAAGACAGCCCCGCACAGATACAGCTTGTCATACAGCATCCTGAGCACCCCTAATAACGACCGAATCTGTCCCAGAACCGCTCTCGAATGCGCTTGCGAAACCCGCTTTCGGGATCTGTCGCGCGGACTCCTCTCCTCGCGCTCAACCCTTATCCGGTGTTGCAATCATTTTTATTTTTTTCTCTTTGTAAGTGATAAAATTACTCGACAAGAATAAAAATTGAAATATTTTAGTCTATAATCTCTCGAAGGCAATCAAAATGATAGTTTAGAGATCAAATAAGTCTCAAAAACAATACAAACCGATATAAATACATGCGACTATCCGCAATTGCCCGAATAAGGGTTGAGGAATTTTATCATACATTAGAAGAGTAAGTATTGCCTATGAAAACGATATTAATTCATCAACGTTACTTTGATAGAATTTAAAACTAGCATTTGTCTTATCAACGATTAAAGAAGTTTGAAGGGTAAATCGTTCTCCGATTTATTATTACATGGCAGCTATTTTATTTGTATTTTTTTTTAACTGCAAATTTGTGTAATCGATTGCATGAAACTCACTGAATTAATTATTTTAGCGGACGCGTATCAATTCTTAAACATTAAAAATAACGAAACTCGGTCAATTCTAAACGTCCATGTTACATTGGAGCCGAGAATCAAATGCATGGTAGGCGACACTTACTCGTCTCGGCATGCGTGTGCGTGCGCTCGTTCGACACATATCCAAAGCGATTGTATATTTCTAACGAGAGGCGTCCTATAAAGCCACGCTATTACCGTACAGATATCGCGCATGATGCAAAACGCGCGATTTCGTAAACGCGATCCGGTAAATGTGTTCGCCATTTTATACTAGATCGTCTCTCGCGTTTATTTCGCGCTTTCGCACGATAACTTCGTGTTACGATGGCGAACATTGTCAAGATATTGCGATAAGATACACTCAACGAAAATCAAAATCGAGAAAGATAGAAAGGGAAAATACGGGAATCGATGGAGAGATGTATAATGCCAAAGTGTAAATGGACAAAGTTGAGATTGGTTTTTGCGAATATTTTTTTTATTGTTGCTCTAATTGATTAAGCAACCGTTTGTTGAGTTAAGCTCAAGACTGGAAAAACACTTTAATTTTTATTTAGTGATTATTGACAAGAAAATTGCAATTAATCTGAGGCGATCTTTCCTTTGACAGAGATTTAAATCGATTTATCCGGATGATGTTTGATTAAAAGCGAATAGATTGAAGGAAGAAAATTGTTTCACACGTCGAAATTAAAAAGCGTAACGCTTGTCGCCAAGATAAATTCTATCTCAATTTTGTCTCACGATACGTTCTAGTCGATTACCCTCGTTTTCCGGGACATCCCGTCTCAACGAGCGCGCAAATTCCTTCGCTGCAAATTTACGTGTCTCGCGAAAAAATTATATATCCAAGCGCGATTCTTGTAGCACGCCTGTTTATCCTTACATTCGTGATTATCGTGCATTTTCTTTCGCCGTAGCGCGTCCATTAGGTACAAAACAAACGTGGAATCACGCGTTACGGTAAATTACGGTCGATAACATCCATAGAGATAGAACACGACGAACTATATTAAGCGTATATTTAGCGATATGTACATTTTGCAATGTATTTTTGGCACGGACTTTGATAAACTTTTAGATTACATGTAACGGGTCGCAACAACAAAAAAAAAAAAAAAAAAAAAAAAAAAAAACAATTATCCTCGCGTAGCGGCGTCGTTTTTTGTATACTCGCCCAGGACATACATTTTACACACACGCGCACATACGCACACATCGATCCTTTACCGCATCGCGTGCCATAATTTACCCCCGCTTTCTTCCATCAATGATACACTTGTAGTCTATGATTGCCACTGGTTACATTCATTTCCGACTATATTTATGTATTCGTATTGATCTAAAGTCCGTTTGATGAACGCTTTTCGTGCGTTGTTGTTAACGAAAGCGCGGCTTTATCGTTCCTTGTCGGACAAATTTGTACGCATTTCTGTGTGCCGTTCCTTATTTTACCTCGCCGATATTTATCTCACAAAATAGCGGAGGTAAGTTGACTTGTCTCGTTACCGAGAACGCGTAGCGAAAATATACAAGTAATTACGTAAGAAGAGCTATAAAAGGTTCCTCCCCTCTTTTTTTTTCTTTTTTTTTTTTTTTAAGTTATATATATTTTTTCGTTAAAGAAAATTCGTGGAGAAATTTAATGATACAAATTTGTTTCTATCGCTCGTCGAAATAAATCGCCTCGATTGTAATAGTTGTGCGGTAAAGGGTTGATTTGATATGAATACAATACGACTACTTTACGTACAAGTTGGGCGCGATCTGCAAAATCAAGCCAATTTGTAAAACTCTGAGCAAGCTGTCGATCTTACCCCTGTTCGACTCGCGCATTCTTTTTATTCCACTGCTCGCACAATGATAACTGATCGAATCAAAAAGTACTCGAGTCATCGTCAAATTGCTTGCACGATCCGTCGTTTTATTCCGATGAATGATTCTCCCGAATTTTACGGAGGATCAAGACAAAGGAAAAGAATAGAGACAGCTTGGTAGAGGATATATAACCGCCTATTACTAATAATTACTTACAAACAGAGATTATACATTGTTAATTTCATAATTGATAATCCTTTTTTTTTCGCAAATAAACGCAATGCTTACCTAAAACAATTACTAACTGTCCTTATTGCGATTTTTTTGTAGCTTATCTTTGTATTCGAAGTGTTCGCGACGAGGGGAAAGGTGTGATTGTGTCGCGGGAGGGAAGGCTCCGAAACAAAATTAACGCGTAAATATATCATTAAAATGCAAAAGCCCGCAGAAAATGGTTTTGCCTCGTCGCTTTTTATTGTTAGTTACATATAATGTTTACGCTGTTTCGTCGTCGCATATTGCCACTTTAAAGCTGCTTTTCATAATTCTAATCGTTAGCCTCATTTAACAAAACCTTGAAAACTTTTCAGAGAATCAAATTGAATTTTTTAAAACTAATACGGATAATCGCGTAAGTAAATGTTATCAAATAGATCTTATGATTATGCATTTTTCTTTCTTCTTTTCCTGTTTTTTTTTTTTTTTTCACGTTAATGAGGTGTCCTCGTTAAACTGCCGATATGCCAACGTGCGTTGTCGACACACATCTGTAATTTTGCATAAATGTTAAAAAGTGCAAATATCGTAAAGTACAAGTAATAATTTAACACCTGCGAAGAAAAGTGAATATTCTCTATCCACTGCGGGCGCAATAGAAAGATTGTGAAAACTATAAGCGCATAATATTTTGGGACACACGTGAGATTAGCATGTTGCTCTTTGGTCGCGTGTGCAATGGATGGGTTCGAAGCATGGTTTTCGCATGGATGATAGATTTTGTACTCGCAAAGAGATTATTTTGCACAACAGATATATCACAGACTTTTGTTCCCCTAAAAATAGAGCTAGCTCTATATAAACAGATTAAAAAAATCATGATGTACAAGAAACATTTGGTAATATCTCGCGTCAAGTATGTATTTATTTTGTACGCATTTTACACATATTTTTATTATAACGTTATGATTTAAATTACTATTGATTTTTATAATCTTGATAATAACTCTTTGACATCGCAAACGAAGATGATCGAAATAGAGGACGAAAGTTTTAAAAAATCGGCACTTCATCAGGATTATTCCCGTTCATCTTCATATTTTTGTCGTCAAACATCCGGTTATAATTTACCCACACACGGTCTGCAACTCGGATATAAGCGTTCGATGATTCTCGGATCTCTTCTCATTATTAGCGACGCAAGCAATAGTTCGGGTGCTTGATATGAAAATTCTCCTTTCAGGACTGTCGACGGTAAAGATAAGAAGAGCAAGAAGAAGGGCCTCTTCTAATCGATCTATAAAAAAGAGAGAGAAAGGGAGCGGGCAGGAACGACCCGGCATGATTGTCATACTTCCGGCATCGCTATAACTGATGACGAGTTAGGTAGATCCGATCAGCGATAAACTCGATTAGCCCGCGATATATAAGGGTCGGCGATTTCGTCACGTGTTTAACGGATACTAAAATCGAAGAGGAACAGCTGCCGAATTGGATTCTGTAAAACAGAATTTGCAAGGGATCCACGCTTGGCTATTCTACATATGGCTGGATCTGCGGATTGAAAAATCAGAGCTCATTGAACTGGGAGTTCGCGAAGACGAGAAATGGTTCCCGGAGATTCCGTGGAATCGAGAAAGTATGAAACTAAAAGTCTTCAGAGCCAAGGAACTGCGAAACAAGCATCTTCGGTGCCGAGAGATATCAAAACAGAAATCTATATAAGAAAAATTGCAATAATTTAAGAAAAATGTCTGGAGCAAATTCCTATATAGATTCATCAATCTATGGAACTCGAAGATCCGCGATGCCTAGTTTCCGTTCATACAAAGATTCGCCGATCCAAGAGTCCTGAATGCAAATTTGACTGATTGCCGATCAACTGGATGCGCCGATATTAATATTCAGAGGAAATATACTCGTCGACGGAGATCGTGCTAAAGTGTGTTTAGATTTACGCGGATGTCCTGCATCGGCGAGATGTCCGTTTCGTTTATGCAATATGTGCTTCGTGCAAATCTACGGACAGAAAGAGAGAGGGAAAGAACGTTCTCCACGACGAAAAAGGTGTGTCTGGCCATGCTTTTTTGCGCTTCCTACTAGCATTCAAAAGGAGATAAGAGAGAGTGTATGTATGTGTGTGTGTTTGAAGGGAAGAAAACAAAAGGGATGCACAGTCGTCCTTTCACGCTCATTGGCGTTCATCCACGACCATCATTTGCTTACGATAACAACTGTACAAAATAATAAAAAGAATCCACGTAGACGTAATTTTTTGGAGAACGTAACTTTCGTATTTTCCTCGGCGCAAGTGTCAGCTCCGTTTAAACCTATGTATCTTTCTGCGTAACACGAGAGCATCATGTTTGCCATCCTCCGCCGATCGCGATTACATTGTGCGTCATGCGACTGGATAGAGTTCACGGAACTCATCATATCAATATCTTGGAATGAGATCAATTGACCGTTCCTGAAATAGAGATGAGAACATATACACGGATTTATCCTGCTTTCAAATGATGAAATCCAACCTTTGATCTTTAAATATTAATTAATCACTAATCTCAATTATTACGATCATATGATTGAACTTTACGATTTGGGATTATTCGTCTATCCGATAATTCAAAACAATCATGGTAGAATTATAATTTAATTTGTAATATTGAATCAAAGAATATTCGAAATTTTATTGTGTCTTTTTATTCTATCATTTTTCTTTCTTTTTAAGACTATCAAAACATCGACAGTTTTCAAATACCAAGCAAAAATAAAGAAGTTTTCACGAATTCACTAACAAACAACATCACAAATAACATTCTTGAATTAATTTTAAATAGTTTTTAATAATATTTTAACTCTTAAAAGATAGAAATGTATTGAAACTTGAGTGATCAAAAAGTTGTGAAAAATTATGGCGTTTGCTTTAAATATTGACCAAGCAAAAATTTACGATCTATATTAACAATATTGAATAGAGATTAAGAAAATTGGCTTCCCAAAAAAAAATCATTGAGATAAAAACATCGTATTTTTTGTAATGTTGTATGAAATTATACAATTATAGTCGCGTTGATTTTCGATTCTCGCATTCTTAGCTTGTTCAACTCTCGATTTTGGGCGGCGCGGCAATAAAATACGAGGAAGGAAAAGTGTGATATTTGCGCGATTAGCACAATCATGTCGCAGAGGCAGGCTGAACATGATATCGCACAAAACAGCGGCCATATATTATATACGTATAAATATATATATATATTTATGTATAAATCTCAAGCGAGAGAAAGCGTAAGCATAAGTCTAATCCATGTATATGTACGCGTAAAACGCCGCGGCAGAGACGCGACGAATCGATTATATATGATAAGAACGGATCATTGTATAAATATAGTAAATCTAGGTGTGTTATGTATACCGCGATTCGAGACAGTGCGCCTTCTCCTTCTCCCTGTGTGTTTAGATCAAAGTCACTACGTTTAAAGAGATCGCTACGGCGTAAAATTAATTCTGGGTTCCTTATTACGAGCGCCGAGTCATTTTCGGAACAGTAATTTCTGTATGATTGTACGTACACGAACAACATCGCTTTCGTCTCTGTTAGAAAACTATTATAATTGCAGCAAAAATAAAAAATTTTTTTTTTTTTTTTTTGGAAAATTATTTTCCAGTATAATGATTTTTTCTTGACAAAAAAGTGTGTAATTATTGGTTTTATAATATTAGAAGTAAAAGATTAAACAAATATGAATTAAAACAACGATTTTTTTAAGGCTTTTCTTACTCCGATAAAGTGTTATTCAAAAAATGATTGTAATCATAAGGTAGCCTGAAATTATTGACGTCGTTGATGTTTATACGATTGACATTTACATTCGAATCGGAGGCGCGCGCCGTCTGGAATCTGTCCACGTCGATATGTTTAGGGGCTAAGCTACAAATTAAGTTACTCCTGTGCCAAGATGAGCGAGGGAATGAGAGCAATTTTCTAACGCTGTAGCGAGCGGTCTCTTCAGTTACCGCGAAGTGAAACACACGAGGTGTTCTTCGTGGGAAGATTCCCCTTAGATGCGTTTGAAGGGTTCAAGGGATCACGTGCTCACATTTAACCTTCCAACGAGTATCTCAAACGCATTCGATTTCGTTTCTCTAGTAGCCAGATGTTAGGTCTGGCGAGTTTGCTTATTTGATGTCACGTAATTTATTCTAATATTCGATCTCATGGGAAAGAGATTTATTTCTTTTTAATTATATTCTTTCTAGAGATTTCTATTTCTTTGAAATGTATTCATTTCTTTGTTAAATATAGAAAGTAGAACAGAAGAAGAAGCGGCTAAAAAGAACAGATCTCGAGGAAACGATGCGGAGGCCAGTAAAAATTCGTTTTACGATAAAAAGTCGTTTGACGATTGTCTCTATTAATTTCTATTCGATATCATCATTTTATTTTATCGCACTACACTTCCCCCGTTTTCTTCATCTCGTGGGGATGAAAAACGCGCGCGCCACATTCCTATTTTCTACGCATTTTTCTAAATAGGCTCGCCGGCTCGAGCGTGCGCCGAGATATGGCCAATTAATCTCTCGTTGGTATACGTGTCGAGTAATCGAAAGTAAGATAAACGAGCGGAGCCATGTTTATGATAGTAACGGAAATACAAAGATCCGAGAGAAAAAGGCGAGAAAGCAGAAATCCAGGTTGTAGATATCCAAGAATCGCGAAAAGCATTTATTAAATATGAGTTATTTAAAAAAATTTGCAAGAACTGTCAAATATACTTTTAGCAAAACTATTGACATTGTCGAGCTCTAAATTTCAATTATCAATATAATGATAATGATGCATGATAGTGATATTGAACATCGATATTAATCAATTACGGTGATTAATGCTGTGTTTCAGTTCATAAAATCTTAGTGTAGTTAATTTCATGCATCATCAATCAACATATTCAAATTGAGAGAGAGACTTTCTTTAACATTTTATTAGTGATATGGAATCCTCTTGGAATTTTGCTTCGCACATTTTGCTCGAATCGAAGTAGTCGATTGTACTTAATTATCGTGTGAAATTCCTGATTGTTCTGCTTTTGCAGCCGAAGACGATGTCGAGTCGGATGAAGAATGTTACTTAAGGTCATATCCCCAAGGTCAAGTGGCCAAGCGACGTTATCGATAATTATATGTATTTCTTAATGAACGATGCTTGTAATACGGTTACTCATAGGAATATTGTAAAGTGACTACTTTATACGCGATAATCGATGTGATTACATTAGTTCCGGGAATGAAAGATAAAGAAAGAAAAAAAAGAGAGAAAGCGAAAGAGAGAGACTGGCGAGGGAATAGATAAACGAAACAAATTATATATATTTTGCCGTGCCAGACGAAAACGAAAGCTGCCGCCGCTAATTGTAGATGTAATAACGACTCACTATTGTATCGCGACGAACACTTTAGAGAGAGTATGTATCCAGTAAATTATATATAAAACTATAACAAAAAACACCGGGTGATTCCGCTTGGTCTGTTTTGCTCTTCCACGAGTCTTCCCTTCCTGGATTCCACGCAGCACGACGATAATCCGAGCCATTGACAATCGATTTTTATGGAAAAACAAGATTTTTTTAGAATTTTAGGCCCTCCACCGCAGGTTTCTGCCAATAGACGCGAAGAAGACACTTGATGAAACAAGATAAGGATTTTAACAATTTTAGGTATTTCATAATTATCAAACACGTGTATGTGTGTATTATTGCGAGCAAAGTCCAATAGATTGAACTTTGCTTTTTATTCAGTAAATCAGTTATGCAAATAATAAAGGCGACATATTCTGCGAATAATTTCTGTCACTCAATATTCTTGCCGGAAAAAATATCATTCGCTTAATTGCTTATTATATATTAAAATAAGACTTATATTATTATATCATGGCTTATATAATTATGAAAAATAGTTTAAAAAGATATTTATTTTTAAAATAATTTTCCTATTTGATAAGCATAATTTCTTATAACACAAAATTATAATAAAAATAATATCAAAATTAGTAATTAAAAAAGAAATATCAAAAAATTATGCGTAATATTTGTTATACTTTCATGTTTTAGACGATAAGATTAGACGTTTTATATTAAACAGGATAAAGTGTTGATATTACACGAATCACAGAGATTTTGTATCGATAGCGAGAATCTAAGAAATTTGTATAACTCACGTCATCAAAGAAGGAATGTATGCTAGGAATTTCTTCTTCCGGCTTGCTTTTACTATTTCTCAACATGCGCTTTTAACGAAAGCCGCGCCGAGAAGGAACGGCGTATAACGGAAAGTGGAAAGCGTCCGTGGAATATTAAATATTTATTTACATACTGCTCTCGGCACATGAGCATACGCATAATTATATATGTTGCATTGCAATTTGCAACATTGCAATGTTGCTGCAATATAATCGCAATGATCTGTGCTGTATGGGTATAGTTTAAATTTTCGCTGAACGATATTGAAAAGATACTATTAAAAATGCATGCGAGAAATATTATTTAAGAATAAAAAAGACCAAATTTTAGCAATTCAATTACGAGTTTATCTATTTTCGTCTATTGTTGATGTTTTTCTCGCGAACAAAAAATCTTATCCTTTTTTTGCACGCGAGAAAAACATCAACGACAGATGAAAACAAATAAACTCGTAATTGCATTTGGCATTTTTTATTGTTAAATAATATTTCACGCGACATCTCTGATCTTTTCAACAGCATTTTTTCAATACTGTTTAGCGAAAATTTAAACTATGTACTTTAATTTTTTATTTTATAGATCTTGATAATCAAGACTTAAGGAAAATCTCTCGAAACTAGCTTGAGAATTTTATTTAGCATTGACGGGGAAGAAAGAAAAATAGAGAGAAAACAAATCTCAAAATTTCAAAAAATTAGCTTATACAAAATTCTAATATAAAATACCTATATATTGAGAGTATAATCGAAGATTATAATTCTATTATTAGATTATAATTATATTCTTTTTGATTGCGACAAAACTGTCCATAAAGATATTATTTCGGTAAATTTAAATTATCTTGATTCGCGTTTTATCGAAATATTACAATAGTAATAGATACAATTACAATTTATGATTGTCTCTCTTATATTTGTTTAGTTTAAAAGCTACGTTTAAAAGTAATTTATTTCTGCGTCTCTCGTCACAGTTGAAATACATTGTCCGACATTATTTCTCTTATCTTATTTTTTCAAAACAACAAATAATATGACTTGCAAAATTATTATGTGTTAATCCCTTCGTTGATATTGACACATAGTGCGAATAGAATTCCGTTATCGTTGTAGAATCCCCTTCACTTCTATGATTTTAATGCCTAGTAGAAAGCTAATACACTGCTATAATATTTTTCTTATTAATAAAGATTGGTGTGTCCTCGATTTTCAATTTTGCGCTAATCTCTAATATTACACAAGATAAGTAAACAACGTCACATTAACTATATATTTCTGACTTGATAAAATCACATCGCGATCTACGGATTGGACAGATCTGGCTTAGTTTAATTTTGAGCTCAAGTTTAGACAAGTTTTTTTTTTCATTTAAATTGCAATCTATTCGATTTTTACCGGAGCCTATTTATCTTTCGGTTCAACGTTTCACCTTTTCATTCATTTTCTTTGCAACAGCTCTGTAATATAATATATCCATTTTGTAGATATATTTTCGTCTAACGATCCCGCGATAAGAATGGTTTGGAATTTGAACAGCATAGATAAGTATGATAAATATCTAATTTTCAAGTACAATAAAAAGTCTAATATTAATTTTGTATTGTTTACACATTTCTGCTGTAATTACAAAAAGCAGCTGAATATATGCTTTTCCAATGACAGTAATGACTATATTACTAGTTCATATATATTTATAATAATAAATATATATTTCACAGACTTCTATGTATTATATCATATCGTACCTAGACTGCTAACACGGCTATATTTCACATAATGATATATGAAACAAGGGCAGTCATTTACAATTGGGCAGATTGGAAGTATATATATAGTGGGTTGGTGGATTAATACACACATTCTTATATTTACTTACATATACACTATATATATACTTCCAATATATATATATATATATATATATACAGGGTGTCCCTGTAGATAGATTAGATGTAAAAATCATGTCAACAAGCATCTCATCTTGCATTCACAATATGCATATAAAATAGACAATTATGTGCCTTTTTTGCATGTGTGGCAAAAAAAAGCGGTATAAAGTGTACTTAATTTCGAAAAAATGCGTAATATATGACATATACAAGATAGAATTCAGAATAATTGCTACCGAGTAGCGCATACTTTTTCTCATATGTACAACCCCGAAGCGCATATAGAGAACATGTCAAAGCTTACGGAAAATAGTTGAGTGATTACGTACATATATATATATATATATATATATATATTCTGCCTAATTGTAAATGATAGCCCTGGCTTGATCTGTCTCATCGCTGTGAGCAGTTTAGGTGTAGGTATAATATACACAATAGAAGTCTGTGATTTATTCTACACATGCATTCATATATGCGCATACTTGTTTGTCACCGCCAACTGAATGCGTAAATGCAAATACAATTTAGCAACAAGAAATGCAAGTCTGAAATACGTTTTGTTATCGATTTAAATAAATATTCAATTTGAAAAATGCATAAAGGGGCAAAGTCAGGATTATCATCTGGGTATATATTGCGTTGGATTCCGAAAATCGCGGCTTCCAAAAAAAAAAAAAAAAGAAAGAAACGCGAGCGTGTCTCTGCAAAGGATTATTAACTGTTTTATTCCGAAGAATATTATGTGACTTTTATGAAAGAGATCAAAGCAATTTTTCTCTACGATCCGACGAATTATTCTTTTTCCTTTGGCTAAATTTATATGAGATATTTTTTCTGTAAATCGGAGAAAAGTCTGAGTGGAGTGATAATCGAGTTGTTGCTGTCGACGACCAATTACCGTTTAAACTTTATTTGTAACTTTATAATCTTTATTCCTGCAGTATATAAACCGTCGTAAAATAAATTAGCTATTTTACTGAAGGAACAAGTAAAGAGCATATAACATCCGTTTGACACAAAATAATTTTTTTTTTGTAGAAAAAAATCGATTCCATCGAGAAATTCATCATTAAAAATATTTTATGTGTGAATCTCGTATTTTGGTACTCATACTAAATTGTATGTTCTTGATAGAATGAAGGCTCTTGGACCTTTCTCCGCAATCACTGATAATTATGACATTAAAATATATTGAAAATTATCTCTTTGATTTATGGATTAATAAATAGCTATAATTCTCGATTATGTATCGTAGGAATCCTTTTCTTTGGAAAAATGCAACTGAATTGCACATTTACTAATGCGTCCATACAGCACAGAACATTGCAGCAACATTGCAACATTGTAGCAACATTGCGGCAATGTTGCAATGTTGCTGCAATATTTCTGCAATGTTCTGTGCTGTATGAGCGAGATAATAAAAAGTATAATAAAAATAATAAATAATTTTGGCACATTTTTGTTAATTCACACTATGGCGAACACGTGTGGTATGAAAAAATAAGAAAAATAAAACCTATTTCATCTCAAGGAATATTTCGCGAAAAAAAAATTTTAATGGTCTTTTGCTTTCAATAATTTACGTTAGAAGCGGTAAGAAAATAACGCATATATACGCTTGCACATTATTCATCACGACTTGTCACGATGACCTAATGACTCGCTGCTTCAGTCTGTCATCCGTCCCGTTGAAAAAACGTCGGAGATTGCGCGTACATATACGTGCATGTGTATAGGGTGTATGTATATTGGTCAATTGAAGCCGAACGAATCTTAGCGAGTCAACGTCGTTTATTGTATACATCCGTCCCCGCGTTATTAGCGAATTTCTACGTAAGGGCTGTCTCACACAAATTGACATAGCTGCATATACATAGCATAAGACCAATGAGCATATAATGTAAATCAATATCAGTCACTTTAATGCTTGATATTCATTGGTCCAAACGGCCTTATGCTATACATATGCAGCTATATCAATTTGTATGCGATAGCCCTAAGGCCGGGTTTACAATAGGTGTAGTAAGCCTTTAGCCTTCTGCTCTAAACTCTAAAATTTGCACACAGAAAAATATTATTCTATTGCTAAGAAAAATCATTACTCAGTTTACTTTACTTCTTTTAAGTAACAGTTATCTTGAACAAAGAATATTTTCTTAATAATAGTCTTAAAATAGACTTGTCACAAATTTTAG